GGCACAGATTGCGGTGACTTCCTCAGTACGTTCGTGGTATGGCTTGAGCATGTTCACATGGAGCATGCGTTTGCCTCCCACGCCGGTAACCGGGCCGATCACATAGGTGGTGTCACAGATCTGTTCCACCACTTTGTATGGGCCCTGCCAGGAAGCCTGCAGCTTATCTTTGTGGACGGGTCGCAGGATTAGGACTTTCTGCCCCACCTGAAAGCTGCGGTCCCTGGCTCCCTTATCATACCATCGGCGCTGTCGTTGTTGCGCTACCTGGAGATTGTCTCGGACGGTCTGGGTTAGCCTCTCCAGGCGTTCCCGGAACTCGAGCACATATGGTAAGATAGGGGTGCCATTAATGGTTTCGTCTCCCTCCCAGTGTTCCCGTATCAAGTCAAGAGGTCCCCTCACTCTCCTCCCGAATAATAATTCGAACGGAGAGATTCCGGTGGATTCTTGTGGCACTTCTCGATATGCGAACAGTAGGTGGGGTAAAAACCGCTCCCAGTCCTTTTGGGTGTCCATGAACGTGCGGATCATTTGTTTCAGGGTTCCGTTAAACCGTTCACAGAGCCCATTGGACTGGGGGTGATATGGGGAGTTGAGGATTTGTTGTATCCCACAGATTTTCCAGAGCTGATGGGTCACTTCAGCAGTAAACTGGGTGCCTCTATCGGAGATAATCTCCCGGGGAAATCCTACCCGGGTGAATATCCTCATCAGGGCCTCGGCTACCGTTTCTGCGTGTACGTTCGTTAGGGCCACTGCCTCGGGGTACCGGGTGGCGTAGTCCACCACAGTTAGGACATACTTCTTGCCGGAGGGGCTGGGTTTTGCAAGGGGACCTATAATGTCTACTGCCACCCTACTGAATGGTTCTTCAATGATGGGCAGAGACCGTAGTCGGGCTTTGTATCTGTCCCCCCTCTTGCCTACCCTTTGGCAGGTATCGCAGGTCTGACAATATCGCTTAATATCCTGGGAAATACCTGGCCAAAAGAAATTTTGGGTCAGCCTGTGCTTGGTCCGACTGATGCCTAGGTGTCCAGACAGAGGGATATCATGGGCTATGCGTAACAGCTCTAACCTATACTTTCGAGGCACTATTAGCTGTTTAATGGGCAACGGTATTGACCCGGACACTACCTTCTCTGCGTGCCGATATAGTAGTCCTTTGTCCCAGATATATCTTTCCCCCTCTAACCCGGCTTGATTTTTATCCATGCGGTCTTTGTATACCTGCAACGAAGGATCTAGGGCTACTTCGGCCCCGAACTCTATGGAATTGGCCCAGGGCATGATAGGGGGTAGGGGAGGGTCATTGCTTACCTGAGCCTCAGAGTGTTCGGATGGTGCAGTGGTGCGGGCCTGTTGCCGGGTCACAACCGGGTATGCTTCTTGTACGGTGGGCTGTGGAACAAAAGCTGAAGTCAGCTCCCCCAAATCGTTGCCCAAAATCACATCCGCTGACAAGTCTTGCATCATCCCCACATATACATTCCCGTGCCCCGCTCCCCAATTCAAGTGCACCTTGGCCGTGGGTACTTTGTAAATGGCTCCCCCAGCCACCCGCACAGCCACACAGTCCCCCGTGAGCTTGGGCTTTGGTACCAGATGACTGCGTACTAGAGTTAGGGTGGCTCCAGAGTCACGAAGTCCTTGTACTTTCCTCCCCTCCATGTGTACTTCCTGGCGGTGCCCTTGGCGGTTATCGGAGGCGGCCTGGATAGGGTTCACCTCGTGTAGAGTACCGAGGGGTTCCTCCCGGGTTGTCCCCAACTCCAGATTTTGGTAGGATTCGGCCTGTAGACAATGGACTGCGGCACGGTTGCTCGGGGCGGCGTTATTCCAGCTGGGTCGAGGCCGGTTCCGTGGGCAGTCTCTCTGGATGTGCCCCTGTTGGTTGCAGGTATGGCACCGGATTGGTGGACGTGCTGAATATCTGGGGGGGTAGGAATTCTGGTTTACCCCTGGTCGCTGGTACGTTGCGGGGCCCCCTGGAGGGCTGGTCGTTGTAGGGGGGATGGTGGCTCGGGTTGGTATGGGTTGATCTCTCCGATTGTCCTGGAAATCGTCTGCCATATTAGCCGCTTCCTGCAGGGTGTGTGGCTTTCTGTCCCGGATCCAGTTTTGTAGGTAGGTCGGGACGCCATTGAAGAATTGTTCCAGTACTATTAGCTGGAACAGACCCTCCAATGTATCAACTTGGGCGGCCTCCAGCCACCCTTTGGCAGCTCGTTGCAGCTGGTGCGCCCATTCCACATGGGTGTCCTTAGTGGGTTTTTTAATGTCCCGAAACTTCTTTCGGTATGCCTCTGATGTGATGGCATACCGGGCTAGGATGGCCCGTTTTACTTTAGCGTAGTCTCTACTATCCTCGTCTGGTACTGCCCGGTACGCTTCGGCGGCTCGCCCAGATAATCTCCCCGCTAGTAGGGGTACTCTGTCTGCATCATTAATTTCGTGCAGCAAACACAGTCTCTCGAAATCCTGTAAATAGTCGTCAACGCCACCCTCTGTCTCCACATAGCTTTTGAAGGCTTGATATGGGATTTTGGCTTTCCCTGGGAAAATATGGACTGGCGTTGCGGCTCTTTCTCTGGCTTGCTGGTTTCCTGGCGGTCCTCTAGCCATAATGTACTCCTGTACATCAGCGAACAGCCGGTTAATCATCTCTGTAGATGGTGGTTCAGGAAATAAAGCCATTCGTGCTCGGAATTCCGCTGTAAATTCGTTGGTTTGTCCCTCCATTTGAGGTGCTGCAGCAGCTGCTGCTCTGTCTCCTTCCATGAGCTCCGTAATTAGGACAGCCTTTGCCTTGTTACTGGCGATTGCTCCTCTTGCTTCCAGCAGCTCCTTTAATGTGCTCCGTTTTAGCAGGGCGTAATCTGTTCCCATTCACCTGCTGTTCGTGAGGTTTATTCGAATGCGCTAATTCCCGAATGCTTGTTCCTTGATTCGTTTAAAAATCTGCCAAACGTTGCTTTGCTGTGTAAATTCAATCCCGTCGCTTGCCACCAATTGTAGCGGAGAGGCAGTATGATCCACAATATCTCCGCTGGGTAACAGGAACAACAAAGGATAATCCAGGGAATCAGCATATACTAATCCAAACAGCACTGCAGTGACCCTTCCTTCCCAAGAACTAGACGACACATAGGCTGGGAGTCAACTGAGGTTTTAATCACAGGTCACAGTATTTATGCAATTCCCCATGCAAGGGGTTTCCAAACTGACATTACAGGGGTTGTACAGGAGGGGACTACATGGGGGACTTACAGTACCACATATTTCTCCCATCAGGCACCGCTACACGAGAGGGATCATCCTCCCAGAATGCACCGTTAAGGGGATTATCCCCTCGTGCAGCAGAACCGGCAATTCACACAAAAATCTACAACTGGTACAATATACGGTGGATTTACACGAATGGACGTTCGGTAGATAGCTGGGGTCTGGGCGCATCATTCGTGAGATTGCCGCTCAGATCCCAGCTAAAATAACCGAACGCCGCACAGAAAACACATTTCTTTCAAAACCCACGAAAAGAACCGATTGCTTTTAGTGAACCTGGTCCTGAAACTCCCGAACGTCCTGGAGGCTCAGCGGTGTTCGTGCCGTTGAATAACTGTTGGCAATGCTATGCGTTCGACGACACGGACCCGCTGAAGAACCAGGGATCCAAGATGGCCGACCGCCGCATGGTCGGTAGTCGAACGACGGCCACCCAGGAGAGCCTCTAATAACCGATTGCAACAATGTTGCAATCGGTTAACTAGCGCCACACGCCTCTAAGTGTGTGGGCTATTAGGGGGTATCGCATTCGTTTCACGAACGGCCCTCCAAAGTGCCGTTCGCGAAACGAACGGGAATCCCCATACAAACCGCCATTTGCATTCGGCGGAACAGATAGGTACAGGCAATGCAGGGAATACATGAAGCAGGCACATACAGGTACAACGCATCTCTCTCCAGACCTATAGGCAACCCTTAAAGGCATAGTGTCCAGTTATAGTCCGAGTGGCTAGGTTTGCCACACGAGGAAAGGGGTTAAACTTACCTTTATTCCAGCTTTCCTCCTCCTCTCCGTCTCCGATCCTACTCTTCGGATGAATGCGCATGCGCGCGCATTCAGCCGGTCTCATAGGAAAGCATTTAAAATGCTTTCCTATGGACGCTGGCGTCTTCTCACTGTGATTTTCACAGTGAGAAGCACGCAAGCGCCTCTAGCGGCTGTCAATGAGACAGCCACTAGAGGATTTAGAGGCTGGATTAACCCATTTATAAACATAGCAGTTTCTCTTCTTTATAAAAAAAAAAAAAAAAGGGTTAATCCTAGAGGGACCTGGCACCCAGACCACTTCATTAAGCTGAAGTGGTCTGGGTGCCTAGAGTGGTCCTTTAATAAATTATTCACTGCTATGCTTGGCAAGTTGCCCTAAGAATACTGCTGAATGAATCAGGCTTTTTTCCACATATGGCAACAAGCTCCTCAAAGATTTGACTAAGCTGTTTATTTTCCATTAAAGCTACCATTTGTGACAGATATGTGAATGTCTCTCTCTTAAAGGGACACTACAGTCAACATCAGGGGCGGACTGAGAGCCTTTGGGGCCCCCGGGCAAAATTAGATCCCAGGCCCTTTGAAGGCCAAATATATGTGCATTAAATAAATGTTAAATATAACTCATAATACAGCATTCCTTTGGATGTGTATATTGTGAAGACCTGTGTATCAATGCATGTTTGTATTTGAGTCTGTGTGAATGCACTTGTGCATGTCGGGATGACTACATGTGCTTTTTTTTGTATATAGTGTCTGTGTGAATGCATATGTGACAGGTGACAGTGTGTGAGGGAGAAGGTGACAGGTGGAAGAGTGTGGGAGGTTGTGACAGGTGGCAGAGTGAGGGAGGGAGGGGTTGAGTGGTGACAGAGTGAGGGGGAGACACAGTGAGTGGGGGTGACTAGTGACATAGGGAGGGAGAGGGGGTGACTAGTGACAGAGTTAGGGAATGGGTAACTAGTGGCAGAGTGAGGGAGGGAAAAGATGACTAGTGGCAGAGTGAGGGAGGGAAGGGGTGACTGGTGACAGAGTGAGGGGATGACTGGTGACAGAGTGAGGGGATGACTGGTGACAGAGTGAGGGAGTGACTAGTAACAGAGAGAGGGAGGGAGTGACTAGTGACAGAGGGAGGGGGTGACTGTCACTAGTCACCCCATCCCTCTCTCTGTCACTAGTCACTCCCTCCCTAACTCTGTCACTGTGTCACCCGCTCCCTCACTCTGTCACTAGTCACTCCCTCCCTAACTCTATCACCAGTCACCCCTTCCTTCCTTCACAGTGACAGAGTTAGGGAGGGAGTGGGTGACACAGTGACAGAGTTAGGGAGGGAGTGACTAGTGACAGAGAGAGGGATGGGGTGACTAGTGACAGTCACCACCTCCCTCACTCTGTCACTAGTCACCACCTCCCTCCGTCACTGTGTCACCCCCTCCCTCACTCTGTCACCAGTCATCCCCTTACTCTGTCACTAGTCACCCCTCCCTCACTCTGCCACTAGTCACCCCTTCCCTCACTCCCTCACTCTGTCACCTGTCACCCCCTCACTCTGTCACTAGTCACCCCTCACTCTAGTGACAGAGAGAGGGAGGGTGTGACTAGTGACAGTGAGTAAGGGTGTGACTAGTGACAATAAGGGTGTGACTAGTGACAGAGAGAGGGAGGGTATGACTAGTGACAGAGAGAGGGAGGGAAGGGGTGACTAGTGAGAGTGAGGGAGGTGGTGATTAGTGACAGAGGGAGGAATGGGGTGACTATCACTGTGTCACCCCCTTCCTCACTCTGTCACTAGTCACCCACTCCCTCCCTCACTCGGTCACTAGTCACCCCCTCTCTCACTCTGTCACCAGTCATTCCCTCACTCTGTCACCAGTCACCCCTTCCTTCCTTCACAGTGACAGAGTGAGGGGATGACTGGTGACAGAGTGAGGGAAGGGATGAATAGTGGCAGAGTGAGGGAAGGAAGAGATGACTGGTGACAGAGTGAGGGAATGACTGGTGACAGAGTGAGAGAGGGGGTGAATAGTGACCGAGTGAGGGAGGGAGAGGGTGACTAGTGACAGAGTGAGGGAGGGAGAGGGTGACTAGTGACAGAGTGAGGAAGGGGGTGACACAGTGATAGTCACCCCATTCCTCCCTCTGTCACTAATCACCACCTCCCTCACTCTCACTAGTCACCCCTTCCCTCCCTCACTCTGTCACTAGTCACACCCTCCCTCTCTCTGTCACTAGAGTGATG